GCATGAATGTAAGGGTTTGATTATGATTACAGAAATACCGGATATTGGAAAAAATACAACCAATTGACCGGTATCATAAAAGTAATAACCAATCAGGTGGGTTTTCATCAAAATTAATGGAAGGTTGTGATTGGTCAAAACCATTCTGCTATCATGTCTTTCTGGCATCGTAGATTTTCCCGTGTAAATATATGGGGGAATACCATATATACTATCTAAATATATACATAAAAGTTCATTGTAGTACCTAATAGTACATTTTGAATTGCTTAAAAACTTATTTGTCAATAGATGTTAGAGAATATGGGTTATAAAACCAGGGAAACAACCTTGCTCCTCAACATTTTATTAGATTATAAGAGTTATTTATTTGCAAAATATTAATTATTAATGGTTCTATTGGATATTGATTTATAATTGTTTTTCTATCTTTGCATTATTAATTTTACGAAAATTATACATTTTCTATTGTTATTAGTTGTTCATAGGTACATGTTGGTGTAAATTCTTCATCTTTTAACCATTAGACTTAATTGGAGAAAGCTAGACAGGATAGAGAAAAATTGAAGGAGTACAGAGAAAATAAAGAAGAAAGAATAGAGAGAGGAAACTAGACACAATCAGAAGAAAAAGGAAGAATTAGATAGAAAGAATGTCTAATCAATTCTTATGTCTCTGTTACCTCAAATAAACCTAATATCCAATCTAAGATTAGATTAATCCAATCTGATAAGAGGTTAACTTTCCAATATTTCTCTTTAGCATTGAAATTTTCAGTAGTCTTCTAGTTTCAACCCTGCTACAAAACAAGAGGTGTGTGGCTTTGAAGCCCAAACAGGGGTAAATAGTAAGTACCCAAATTGCTGGTACATCTGCTAACTATATGGATCTCTGACGTGTTTACTTCTGATTGGGCTTTGGAGCCTGTTGTGCATGTATTGTCTGGTAGTAGATGTGGAGTCCAAAAATTAATAGCTTTCTAGGGTTGCTTCATTACTTGCTGGCATGATTTTGGGCTTGAATGAATTATTATCCTAAAAAGAACAAATTTAAAATAGGTAAATTATACCTTGCCAACATTCAAAGAAGAAACCATGGAAGGTGGAGCTTGAGATGATGAAGCGCTCGGATATCCTCCTACCCACAAGATATTGTAGTCGCATGTTGATAACATTTTCCCATGGAATTCAAATCAGCTCCCCACAAAGTCCCATAGGAATCGTTTATTGGGAACATATCCCGATGATAACATCATCACTTCTGGTATTATTATCGGGAGATGCTCTCAATACATGGCAGAGATATGCTATGGGACGGTAGGGGCGGGGGGAATCTTGTGGGAGGCTGATATGATCTCCACCCTATGAATAACAACAAGACGTGGGGTTAGTTGCAATGTCTTGTGGGTAATGTATGGATAGGGTTCTGGTGGGCAGAGGATCGGGAGTGAAGTCCTCCTCCTCTTCCCCGTCTTCTTCTTTGAAAGAATGAAAGCACAAGCTTTTTACATACTTTTTTAATTAATTGATTAAGGTGATAACTTATATCTCCTTCCAAGCCCAATATATGTATGCAGCCCAAGATCAATCCTTAGAGTTCGAATCGTATTCATCCAGTTACACACTAGGAACATCTCTTGTATTGTATATTGTTAATATTTGGATGAATATGATTTGCAAACAATGTAGTGTAGTCAACAGATCTGTTATTTGAAAGTCAACAGATCCGGACTTCAATTCTCAAGATGCAGGCATAACCATACAATCTGTTATTTGAAAGTCAAATGTCATTTATATTTGTCTTATACCATTTTTTTGGGAGAATAATTATTCAGCATATTCTAAAAATTCTTAGTTCCATAATACAGTTGGAGTAGGTGCTAGCTCGAAATTGATGTCAATACACGGGCAGGTATTGGTGTTTTAGGGGTGGAGTATTTATCATTTTAAATTGTATAGAATTGCAGTAGAATTCAAAATTGTGCAGTGTAGTGAAATGTAATTTTCCGTTTTTTCTTTTCAAAATGTCCATGAAAAAATTGGAAATACAATTGAATTTGGCCTCATTGGTTTCATATTCAGGACATGAAATGGGTCACACCTTAGTTAGATCCATTTGACTTTAAAACACTTATGATTTCCTCAATGATTGATATTCATTTTCCTACCATCATTGCAATATGGGTCGGGTTACCCGCCAACACAATCATTTTCTACTCTTACCGCAATGGCATATAGTAATGGTCGACGTATCTCTTTCTCACGTTAATCAGAAGTCAGAACCCAACTCGGAAACAAATCTTTTCCACAATACGATCTTCCTTACCCAGCCCAAGGTCCATTTAGGAGAGGGTTACCGAGGTTTCGGGTTTGATCAACCCGTAAAATTAGCACCGGAACATGATAGACTTTTTAATAAAAGATTAGTATCGTTTCGGGAAGATAGTTGACTTTGGTAGTTTCAACTAACTCTAGCATGTGCCCGCGTTACTACATCGTTGGCCACCGCTAAGGGTGCCGTGTAAACCGTGTATTGACTAACATTTTCTTAAAAATACATAAATACCCTCCATTTTCAACTGAAATAACAGAAGTACTCCTGGCGCAGGAATCCCGATTCCCGAATCCGCGTGGAAAGAAAAGAAGAAAAAAAAATCAATCGTCTTATCAGATCACTACACTATTTGCTGAACTGAAAATGGGCCATGGCCCATGGACTATGACTCAGAAGTTGCGGATTGGGTAGGAGCGTACGACCGTGTTTGCGGATTGCGTCAATGGTTGCTGCGATGACAGCTCGATTCACACATTCTCATCTCACCATTATCCAGAGTCGTGTTGTCCTTAGTTATAAAAGCAAACGAAATGTCAAGGAATTTAGTAAACCAACCTTCAATGGTCATGGGCTGGGCCCCATTTAAAGGATCAGGCCCACTGTTCAATGGGTCCTTCCCAAGTGACCAACCTTCAGTTTTGGCTTCATTAGTTTGGGAGAATGAGTGGAATCTTCTCAATCGTTCACACAAACAGTCGCCATCGTTGGATCGTGTCGATTTCTCCCTCTTAAATGGGGCCCATTCTAGGGTGTGTATACTCATCTTCAAAAAAATGAACACGAGGCGGCTGAAGAAAGCCCGTAACAGGGAATTATGCCTTTCTTGCCTACTCCATACGGAAATGTAGGGACTAGGGGTGTGAACTGTTTTAGTTTGATACGGTTTGATTCGATCCGTACTCGACCCGATTCATGTATGGTGTATCTCTTCCAAACCCGGATCTCCTGCCCACGAGAACCCTGCCCACGTTTATCTTAGTCACACATGAAGAACATCTCAGCCTCTGCATAGTATTATGCAAGGGAAGATGTTCCCAATTTACGGGGGGTGGTATATTGTGGGTAGGCATGGGCAGGGTTCTCGTGGATAGGAGATCCGGAGTCATCTCTTCCTTGGTCAAGTCTAATTTGGTTAGAGTGCAAATGTAAATATTATTCAATTCATGAAAATTGCTAATTTGGTTTGATTTTGCACCGATAAACTTTGTATTGTTTAACCAATTCAATGTTTTCTTCAGAAAAAAAAATGGTCCAGTCCAAAACTGAGCTTGGAGCTATGCTCAGTTCCTAGGTTGAACGGTTGGACCATCTGGTTTGTTATGGTTTTCAAAATCGTGACAAATAGGGGTGTCAACCGTATTTGAAAATTCAATTTCGAATTCAAGATTCGATATAATCAAATTGAATTTGGATAACTCGAATATCTAATTGGTCGAAATTAGATATCCTATTCATATCGAATAGCTAATCGGATTCAAATTCGGATATGGCCTTATTCAATTCGACAAATATCCAAATTCGACCAATTATTTAATTCTTATATATAACATATAAAATGTTTAAATATTTTATACAATTTATATATAAATTAATTAAATTATATAAATAATTTATATATTTATATACTTTACATAAATAAATTATTTATTTTATATATTTATTAATTATCTAAAATAATTAATTGGTCAAATTCGAATCAAATTGAATATTAGAATATTTAATTAGATTCGAATTTGAATATTAATTTTTAATATCTGTCAGATATCGAATTGAATTTGAATATTGAGTTTTCTAATCAGATTCAAATTCGAATATTGTTTGATTCGATCCCTTTACTAGTGACAAAAATTCTTATGGAACCTTGTAGATAGACTTGGCAAAAAGTTGACTCAACCCAAAAGAACAGGGTTAGGGTCTTATATTTAGTTACCTAGATGTGACAATGACATGATCTGACCCAATCCGAAAAAATTGGGTTGGGTTGGGTTGGGTCATGGGTCAACCCGTTGACCCGATTGTCAAGTATAATTGGGATTATTTATGCATCGTTAGAAGTTTTCACTCTTTATTTTTTTCTATTTAGTCTTTACTTTTTATTGTTTACTCTTTAAATTGTTAAATGTTCAAGTTTTTTATTTTATATTTCAAAATTTTAAGGTTAATTCTCTTAATTTTAACATTTCTCATGTAATTTTTCTTTATTTTTTTTTAAATTTCAATTATTTTTTGAGATGACCCAAATTGACCTATGGGCAACCCTAACCCAAACGTTTAGAGTTAGAGTAGCATTTAACATCCCAACCCGAAATTCAACCCAACCCTGAAAATCAACCCGAAGCATCTTGACCAAACCCGAACCCGACCCACCCCAATCCAATTGCCTGGTCTACTTGTAGAATTGAATTAGAGTACACACTCCCACCAAATGCATATACACAAAACTTGATTGGATCAACAGATCGGGTTTAGCAAGGATCAACCTCAACCCAAAGCTTGACTGGAACCCGAGTAAGGCTGATCCGACCCTAACTCGTTTGGTCGGGTCAGTGCGGTTTATCACTTAACCCGACCCATTTACATTCTAATATTCTATAGATGGCATAGCGAGATTAGTCATTGACTTTGTAATTTTCGACTTTCTTTATGGCATTCTTCTTGCCCGCCGAAAAACGAAACCACGTTCGAATGCACTGAGGTTGGCCAACAGTTGAAACTTGAAGCATAAAAGTTATCCTTTTCTTTTAAATATCTCCGGCGATTTCTTCCCTTTTCTGAGTTATAAAAATCCCAAAGACTCTGACTCCAGAGATCAAAAGCCTCCTCACAGAATCAGAGCTCAGACAACCCAAGCGCCAAATCCTTTCTCTTGCAGAGACAATGGCAGGTTATCCACCAGGACCACCCGGTTACGGCTACGGTGCACCACCGCCCCAGCCATACGGATCGGCACCATACGGAGCGCCACCAGCACAGCCATACGCCCCGGTCGCCCCGTATGGTGCCCCATCGGCGCATTACGTGCCAACTGAGAAGCCTCCCAAGGACAAGCACCAGGGAGCTGGTCTAGCACAGCCATACGCTCCGGCTGCTCCCTACGGTGCCCCCTCCGCACCCTACGGCCATGCACCGGGTGAGAAGCCTCCCAAGGACAAGCACAACGGAATGGGAGGATATCCACCGGCGGCTGCCCCACTTCCATTTGCTAGCCCATTTGCCGCTCTGCTGCCGTCGGGGTTCCCACCAGGGACGGACCCGACTCTGGTGGCATGTTTCCAGGCGGCCGACCAGGACGGCAGTGGGTTCATAGACGATAAGGAGCTGCAGCGGGCGCTCTCTACCTACAGCCAGAGTTTCAGCATCCGAACTGTTCGCCTCCTCATGTACCTCTTCACCGGAACCAACACCTACAAGATAGGTGAGTTTGTGCTTTGAGCTTTTGCCACATGGGTTTGCTGGACGTGTTGACTAGCAAAAAGATCTACAGATCTTCACTAGTTTGCCACCTGGCAAGTTATTGATCTCGGTCCAGATCAGCTTGATCTGATGGTTTGATCCATTGTCAAGTGTCGACCCTTGTAAGGCCCATAAAGCCAATGAACGTATCTATATTTTTTCTTTTTCATTCTGATTTAGCCCGCCCTTTGTTTATTTACCAAATGCAGGACCAAAGGAATTCACTACACTGTTTTACAGTCTTCAGAACTGGAGGGTAAGTCTGGTCCAAGAAATTTATTTATATGGATTTGAATTAGTTTCTATACATTAATTAATTAAACCATAATCAATCAGTAGTTATATAGTTAATTACAATATTTGGTGCGTAAGCAGGCAACCTTCCAAAGGTTCGACAGAGATCAAAGTGGGAAGATTGACGTATCAGAGCTGCGAGAGGCACTTCTAAGCCTTGGTTTTGCTGTTTCTCAAATAGTCTTGGATTTGCTCGTCTCCAAATATGACAAATCCGGTGGTAAAGCCAGGGCAATTGAATACGACAATTTCATCGAGTATGTCTCTAGTTTTCATAATTATAGTTTTTTTTTTCAAGAGTTTAGACCTTTAATCAGTGTTTTAAGATTCAGACCGGACCCCGACGGTTGGACCATGAAAATTGGGAATCAATAACGCTTTTGGATCCTGGCAAAATGACGGATTTTACTGGTTCAACCACTTCAACGGGATAAATCATCCAATTAATTTGTAAAAACGTGGCTTAGTGACTTTTCTGATTTTCAGTCTAGTCCTGGTCTTATAACATTGTTTTAAATTAGTTTTGTAAAATTAAATTAGATCCAGGTGCATAAATGGCCAAAAAAGGCCCATAGAAAGGATAAACTTGGACAAAATAAAAATAAATTTAAAACCCTAGTTCAACTGCTGCCTGGTTTAGAACTTAGAGACCATGGTTATGGATTATCTTATTGGTTTTGACATTTTCATTTATTAGGGTATATTTTAGATTTTTTCTTTTTTTATATTATTTAATTTGTGCCATATTCTCATATGAGATACTAATTTTATATATATTTTGTTTCTTTTGTTATTAATGCAGGTGCTGCCTAACGGTTAAGGTACATATTAATTCATTATTTTATAGCATGTATTTACACAATATCAGGCAGGCTCAGGCTCATGGGCCAGCCCATTCAAATTTTAACAATTCCTCCACTCAACCCACCCAAGTTGCACTGCCTAGTGCTATATGTGATGAATTCATTGAGATTTTCGTTCACACTAGGGGTGTCAATGGACCGGTTTTGGATCGGATCTGTCCAAACCAAAATCAATTTAGATGGATTGGATAGACCATCAAGACATACTATATGTGATGAATTCATAGAGATTTTCCTTCACATTAGGGGTGTCAATGTACCGGTTTTGGATTGGACTCTGTCCAAACCAAAATCAATTTGGATGGATTGGACGGACCATCAAGACATATTGAATTGGACAGTCCAGACTTAACGGTCTGAAGTATTTATTGGATTGGATTGGACCTGGTCCATCGATAATAAATTTATATTGGATTGGTTTGAATTGAGCCAATATCTTGTCCATTAATAGAAGATAAGAATATAGGTGCCAATGGACCAGGTTTGGGTTAGAATTAGTCTAAATGAAAATAAATTTGAATAGATTGGACGTTCTAGACATTGAATTGGGCCGGTCCAAAATATTCATTGCATTAAATTGGACCTGGTCCATTTGTAATGGATTCACATTGAACTGGATCGGATTGGACCAAATTTAGTCCAAGTGACACCCCTACTTCACACCATTACATTATAGTGTAATAGGTCTGGCTTGACTAGAGACAAAATCATATACAGTGGGCTGGGTAATCTATCACGAGTGAACACTGTATTGTTTCATAAACATGGGGCCACATGAAACCCACACCTTGCCCACTCCACTATGTATGATTTTTGTCTCAAACCAATCTACATTCGTTATAGAGCACAAATTTACCATCTAAATTAGAGAAATAATGGGTTGCGGCCAAATGGAGTAATTTTTAGGACTTTTGAATTTATACTGAGGATGAAATACTTAATCCTATAGAGAAAACTGCAATGAAATGTCTACGCAACAACATAACTGATTTCATTTCACATGACAACCAAACAGGCTATATCCTATTCAGATTTCTTTCTTTTCTTAATTATTTTGATTTGTCTCTGAAAATTAATTTTGTTGACAATGATGTGCAGGGATTGACAGATAAATTCAAGGAAAGGGACACCATGTTCAATGGTTCTGCAACTTTCACCTACGACATGTTCATGCTGGCTGTTCTGCCCTTCCTTATTGCATAAGACAACCTAATTAGATGTTTGCTATTTATTTGGTTTTCCTTTATCTAATCTGAAGGTTTCTACATAAGGGAATGAATTGTTTTTTATTATTGCAATGCTTTTGTCTTTTGGTTGGCCTTTTTAGGAATTTTTACATCAGGAATGAATTGTATTTGTAATTCATAATTTCTTCACCTCACTGCAGCAGAAGCAATAACACCACCATCTTTTCTTCCAAATGTTTATATGAGAGAGAGAGAGGTCATAAATGAACTAAGGGTCTGTTTGGTTCAAATCAGAATAGTTCATTCCTATAATCTGTTTGGTTCAGACAAGAATAGGAATGAAAATTAAAATCAGTAAGAATGAGATTTCATTCCCAAGGGAAAGGCAGAGAATGGCCATTCCCTTAAATAGAAGAATTAGGGGAATGCTATTTCAGCAGGAATGAAAATGGAATTCTGATTCCGCCCAACCAACCAAATAACTGGACATTCCGATTCCGATTCCAGACTCCTACTCCCGCGAACCAAATGGGGCCTAAAATTTTGAGATGGTGGTCTATGTAAGGCCAAAGGCGAGAATAGACATTATATAGTAAAGAAATAAATTAAGGGGGTGTTACACCATTATATATATGATCTTGTTGCTTGGAACAAAACAATTAAGTATCACATCAACCGGTTCATTGGACAAATCCAATTCACCTGTGTATTATACACTATCAACACGCATAATCTGTAACATATATATACTATTATTTGGGCATTTATATAGTAGTTTTCTTTTAATAAAAGAAACTAAATTCTTATTAATTACTAAGACAAAACGATTTGGTTCAGACTTCAGAAGAATATAGAAAGCAAAGGCATGAACCCACTTCAATGTCCATATTGTAGTTACCATATTGGTAGGCAGTGTTCTAGCTAGCCTTGAGCTTCGACTCTACTACGTACCTCTTTGCCTCCGCATGAGTATCCCTTGGTAAACTTTCCTGATAAAGTGTAATTTGGTGAGAGCATCCATACGATCTCTTTGCGATTCTATGGAACAAGCAACCCCGATCCATGATCTCCATCACTCTTTCTTGGCAAGCCATTTTAGCAAAGCAGCAAAGCTGTGAAGGCTTAGGCCATCCTTGAACATTTCATCAGTTGGTCTCTTCCCTGTAAACATCTCCAGCAATAGTATTCCGTAACTGTAAACGTCTCCATGTGTAGACACTTTGCCACCCATAGCATATTCTGCACGTCCATTTGGGTATGAATTAATTGCAGTGAAGACTATAGCATGCAAGTGTTGATTTAGTCACACCACACTTGAGGGATGATTTTGGTTGGGCCAGGCCAGGCTTAGGACCAAGCTAAAGGGCTTGATGTAAGCCTGGGCCTGGCCCACTCCCTAGGCCTAAAATAGAGGCCTTTGGTTCTAGCCAAGTTAAGGATGATCAAAGATCAAAATTTCGATACGATACACCCCATATCGAAGGTATCATATTGTATCTTTGGGGTCTCAAAACATTTATTTACAAATGTTTTCAGGAACCTATATGTTTTAAATAATATATATATATATATATTATTTGAAATTGAAAACAAATAAAATAAAAAAATAGGGGGAGTATCATTACAAGTACCGATACACATCTATCGATACACAGTAGTGTATTGATACTTTGAACATGAGGATGTTCACCCCTTCCAACCCATTATCATCAATAAAACTTGTAGGTACAGCTATTCATGGGGAAGATCTAACTTGGAGCTTTGTTTTGGGTTTTAAGGGAATTCATGCAATTTGGTGACAATATGTCTGATCTCTGTTAAATACTATTTAACTAAGATTAAATACTATTTCTATAATAAGGATTGCACCTTGGCTAACAAGCATGAGCACGAGTAGGAGTCTGAGAGTGCCCACTTGTACAACATAAAAAAAAATGCTGAAAATCAGTTTTTTTTTCTACCCCTCCCAAGACCCAGAGCCAAGACCAACGTTGGGCAATGAACTATAATAAGGAATAATATATGGCTCACATTTAGCATATGGTTCATCATTTCTTCCCAGGCCTGCATAGCCCATCTTGGCCCATCTTGGAATTTCTGGGCCGGAGCACCCACTTTTCTTTTAGGCCCATCTTGACCCAGAAAATTTGGTTAGGGTTGGTCTTAGATTGGCCCTTAATCCGACCTAGGCCAACTAATTTATACGCCTGCTTTGTATGTGTGTGTGAGAGAGAGAGATTACAACTTTATTAACAAATGTTATATATATTTTCCTCAATTTTGATTGCAAACTTAAATTAAAATTTTAATTTTGTTAATTTGTACGCGCAAGCCCAGATTCCCACTGCCCAGCCCAATCTGGCCCATGATAAGCGCTCTGTGTTTTACCAAACAGCCACAGCTTTTTCCTTCATTCAGAACATGCCATTTAAATGATCTTATGATCTCCTTGCGTGTTAATAGGATTAATTTAACAAAAGCTCTCATTTTGCATTCTGGATCTTTGAAGTGCAAAGGAAAGCTGGTCTACTGGTGCTAATTAAGTTATTTGAGACTTGTTTTGCCATATAGGCTAACTTAAAAAATAAAAGTAGGAAAGGAAAGGAGTGTTACAACTTTACCTGGAGCAATATACCCAATAGATCCTTTCATTGCAGCAGAGTTTGTTCCATTTGATGCAGAACTAATAGAGAACTCAGAAAGAACATTTGCTAATCCAAAATCACTCAGATGGGCTGTCAATTTTTCATCCAGAAGAACATTGCCTGGCTTGAGATCACTATGAACTATTGCTGCATGGGAATGGTGGTGCAGATATTCCAGTGCAGAAGCTATATCAATGGCTATGCCTAGTCTCTCCATAAAGCTAAGTTTCCTCAACTCTTGGTGCCCATCCGCTTCTGGATGCAGCCATTTCTCAAGACTTCCGTTAGGCATGAACTCAAAAATCAGAGCTTTGAAATCATTACCATGGAAGTCAATACTGGAGCAGGTACTCAACATCTTGACAAGGTTCCGGTGCCGAATATTTTTCAAGGCCTCACATTCAGAGTTGAAACTCTTTGCAGCTCCTCTTTGGTCAAGATTAAGAACCTTCACTGCAATCAATGTTTCATCATTTTCATCTAGTATTCCCTTATATACGGAGCCATAACTTCCAACACCAATCAAATTTGCCTCAGAGAAGCCATTTGTTGCTTTAAGGAGCTCTGCATAAGAAATTGTTAAATGCTGAGGAAATGGTGGTGCAGAAGACTGTTCATTTCTGCGAGGCCTTCTCAAATAACGCCTAACAATGAAAGATAACAATAGAATTGAGACAAGTACCATAACAACCACTGGGGTTATTACTTCGAGAAGCAGATAGTGGCTCTTTCTCTTGGAGGAGGCTGTGATGATGCATGTGGGTAGCTTCAATTCAGCTATACCTCCACAGAGTTTTTGATTTCCACCAACTGCAATCACACTTGCATTATTGAAAATCCCATTTTTTGTAACTTCACCCCGGAGTTCATTGAATGACAGGTTCAAATAGATGAGAAAGTGTAGTGTTCCAAGGAATTCTGGTATTTCTCCAGACAACATATTATTTGAAATATCCAAGCTTTGTAATCCTCTCAAGGCGCTCAGAGACTCTGGAATCATTCCTTCAAAGTGGTTGTCTTCCATGAAAATGTTCTCTAGTAGCAAACAATTCCCAAGAGTGCCTGGGATACTTCCTGATAATCTGTTCTTAGCAACGATTAAGATGGCAAGGTTCTTCAAGTTGCCTACTTCTGAAGGTAGGGAGCCAGTCAAAGGATTGTCACCAAGGTTTAGAATGATTAAAATAGAGGAAATATAGAGAGCTTCTTTGGGTATTGAGCCATTAAGGTTGTTATGATAAAGACTCATGTCTGACAACCGTTGACAATTTCCAAGAGAGGGAGGAATATGTCCATCTAAGTTATTCTCCCCAAAATCAAGACTGTTCAAAAGGGTCAAATTACCAATTGAAGATGGAATTTGTCCGGAGATCCTATTGGAGTCCAAGTACAAGGCCTGCAACCTACGAAGCATCCCAATTTGCACTGGAATATTGCCTGTAATATCATTCTTCCCCATATCCAAGTACTCCATATTGATGAGGTTTCCAATACCTGAAGGGATGCTTCCATGTATATTATTTTCTCTGAATTCTAGAACGGTGATCTGGGTGGAGAGATTAGCCATGGAGTTGGGCAGTGAACCTCTGAAACGATTGGCACCCATGAAGATCATCTCTAATTGTGTGCAGTTGGTTAATGAAGAGAAGAAGTTCAGGTCATTTCCATACGTTGTTCCTAGCTTATTTCCACTTAAATTGATTACGGAAAGATTTGGTAACATGCCTAGATTGTCAGGAACTGGTCCTGTGAATCCATTAGCAGTAAAGTCTATATACTCAAGTCCTGAAGCATTGGCTAGTGAGACTGAAATGGTTCCTATAAAAAGGTTCAATCCAACAGCTAACCATTAGAAATTTGGAAGAGTGAGTCCTATATCCCCAGGAAGTTCCCCATGTACTTGGTTATTAAAATCAACTCAAAAAATTCAAAGCCTGCGATTCGTCCAAGGTCCTCTGGGATGTTTCCCACCAAATTGTTTTCAGCTAGAGAAATTAAAACTAAAGACGAAAGGTTCCCAAGCCAAGGTGGGATGTTTCCTGTAAGATTGTTAGAAGAAAGGCCTAGTCTGGAAAGCACTGATAGACTGCTCATCTCGTCCGGGATTTTACCAGTGAGCTTATTGTCGATCAAATTGATGACCTTGAGTCTTGAACAGTAAGGTTGGTTGTGATCTCACCCTTGAAGGAGTTGTTGCTGAGTGTGAGACTTTGCAGGCGGAACAAATGACCCATCTCCGGTGGATTTTTCCCATGGAAGCTATTATTCTGGAGGGTGATACGCCTATGGAAGGTGAGGTTTCCGATGTGAGGGGAAACAATCCCAACCAAGCTCTGCGACTCTAAATTCAAGGCTATGATGTTGGTTGGGTTCCCTTCCCACATGGAAGGCCCACCAAAAAATTAAAAAAAAAGAAGTCAAAGAGGCTTATAAAAGGAGGCTCACGTGTCTTCTCATGAGCATATATATATATGAGCAAATAAACTTGCTCAGTAAGTTGCGAGAATTTGAAGAGTCCAAGAAGCTTTCCACAGAAAATAGAAGAGAGAAAGAGAGAAAAGAAAAGAGAGAGGAGAAAAGAGAAAAGAGAAAAGAGAAAAGAGAAAAGAGAAAAGAGAAAAGAGAGGTTTTGTGGGTTTTCTTGGGTGAAGAACACAAGATCTCGTGGTGATCCCTTCTCCGATCATATTGAGATTTTAATATGTTGTTGATGGCATCTCAAGTTACATATCTACCGGTTTGATTTGCTATTCCTCTTCTCTATTACCATTTTTGGTGAGATTTAATTTTCTTTCTGAGTTATTTGGTGATATATGTTGAAATTCACCTTTGGGGAGTAGTTGATGTTGATAGCCTCTAGATTTATTGCTAGAGAAGCACTTTATTGTACCCCATTGATTTATTAGTGGAAGTTTTTAAGTGGCTAGGAGCCCATGGTTTTTCCCTTTGCTTTGAAGGGTTTTCCACGTTAAAATCTTGTGTATTTTATTTATGGATTGAGTTATTGTTATTGTATATATTTTCTATTTGGTTGATATTGTTTGGCTTGCATGCCCATTTGATTGCACAAAGAGGGAAAGAGAATTATTTTGCTTCTGTTTAGATATATTTTGTTATTTGGCTATTGTGAGATAGCATGTTTGTTTCCAACAAGTGGTACCAGAGCCTCGGTTATTTTGAGGAATTTCTTGTGCTAATTAAATGGAGGACTTGACCAGTAACAACAGTGGCACTATGATCAGGCTCACTGATTCAAACTATTCAATATGGAAGTCTAGAATGATGGATATGCTTTGTAGTTATGACTATTAAGACACCATATTAGGTGATGAAGGCAAGGTAGGGGGTTCTGATAAAGACTTGGAAAAAATAAATAGAAAGGCAGTTGGAAAGATTAGGCAATGGGTGGATAATACTGTGTATCAGCATATTGCCAATGAGACTAACGCCCATAAGGTGGGGACTATTCTGCAAGAGTTGTATGAGAAAAGAAATTATCAGAATAAAGTTTTTCTTTTCAATAAGCTTATGTGTTTTAGATATCAGGATGAAACTTTTGTTTCTGAGCATTTGAATGTCTTTCAAGGTATATTGAACCAGTTGGCTGCTATGGAGGTAAAGTTAGATGAAGAGATTCATGCTATGTGTTTGATTAGCTCTTTGCCTGACAGTTTGGCTACTCTTGTGGTTTCTCTTGTAAACTCTTCTCCAAATGGTGTACCCGCTTTGAAAATGGTGAAGGAGAGCATGTTGAATGAGGAGAACAGAAGAAAAGTCCAAGGGTTAACAACGCAGAGTCAAGTTCTGGTTACTGAAAAGCAAGGGAGAAGCAAAAGTAGAACTCCAAAGAATCATGATAGCAATGACAAGTCTCGAGGAAGATCCAAGTCAAGGAAAGAGATTAAGTGTTATCACTGTGGCAGGCCAGGACACAAGAAGTTCCAATGCAGAATACTTAAGAGGGAACAAAGCAAAGAAAAGGGCGAAGAAAAGAAAGAAGAAGCCAATACTATAGTAGCTGCAGTTAGTGATGATGTTTGTATTATATGCAATGGTGGCAGTGTCAATCTCACATGTTAGGATTCACAATGGGTTGTAGACTCCGGTGCTTCGTATCATGTCACTTCTTGTCGTGATGTTTTTTTTTCATATTCTAGTGGTCAGTTTGGTCATGTGAAGATGGGGAGTGATGCAGAGTGCAAAATTGTCGGTATAGGAGATGTCTGCCTGAATACAAATACTCCATGCAAATTGCTCTTGAAGAATGTGAGGCATGTTCCTGAGATTCGCCTTAATTTGATTTCCACTGGGATGCTTGATGATGATGGCTATCATAACTACTTTGGTGAAGGAAAATGGAAGCTCACTAAAGGGTCTTTGGTGGTAGTTCGGGGAAACAAGTACAGTTCTCTCTATGTGACAGAGGCTAAACCTTGTGGGCGAGAGGTAAATGTAATTAAAGACTCTTCCATTGAAATTTGGCATACACGGTTGGGTCACTTGAGTTAGAATGGTTTGCAGATTCTTTCAAAGAAGCATAATGTTCCAGGTTTGAATTTTTCTGACTTGAAGTCATGCTCTCACTGCTTGGTAGGTAAACAACACAAAGTTGCATTTAAAAATTTCTCTCCTTCTAGAAGAGCAAATGTTCTAGATTTGGTCCATACTGATGTTTGTTTTATGGACTCTTTGAGTCTTGGTGGTGCTCATTATTATATTACTTTTATTGATGATCATTCCAGAAAAGTCTGGGCTTATTGTTTGAAAATTAAAGATCAAACTTTAGATGTTTTCAAGTATTTTCATGCTATAGTTGAGAGTGAAACTGGAAAGAAGTTGAAATGTGTTCATGTAGATAATGGTGGTGAATCCAGAGGGCCATTTACAGAGTATTGCAGAACTCATGGGATCAAGCTTGAGAAGATAGTGGCAAAAACACCTCAACACAACGGTGTTGCAGAGAGAATGAACCGTACTATTAATGACAGAATTAGATGTATGCTCTCTCATGCAAAGCTGCCTAAGTCCTTTTGGGGGGAGGCAATGAGAATAGCAGCTGACTTGATAAATCTTTCTCCTTCAGTTCCTATGAATGGTGATGTTCCTGAGAAGGTTTGGAAAGGAAATGATGTATCTTATGATTATTTGAAAGTTTTTGGATGGGCATTTGTGCATGTTCATAGAGATGAGAGATCCAAACTTGATAGTAGAACGAAGCAGTGTATCTTTCTTGGATATGGTCATAAGGAATTTGGGTACAGGTTTTGGGATCCAGTCAACAAGAAACTCATCAGAAGCAGAGATGCAGTGTTCATCAAGGATCAGACTATTGTAGACTTTGAAAAGCCAGATAAGCCAAAGTCTACAGATCATGAACCAGTTGACTCAGGTATGGTTGATCCACCAGTTGCAAACACTAGAAATAGAAGAGATGTACAAGAATATCAAGATGAAAATACCCCTCTAGTTGATAATGAGCTAGTAAATGAAGAAGAGAAAGCAGATGAACAGAATGATTTAGAGCCACCAGATGAGCCTCAGTTGAGAAGATCCACTAGAGTGCATCAACCTTCTGTAAGATATTCCCCTACTGAGTATGTAATGATTACTGATGGGGGAGAACCAGAGAACAATCAGGAGGTTTTGTCTCATGAGAAGAAACAAGAATGGTTAAAAGCCATGCAAGATGAGATGAAATCCTTGCATGAGAACCATACTTATGATCTAGTAAAGCTACCAAAGGGTAAGAAGGCCTTGAAGAATAAATGGGTTTTTAGATTGAAGAGTGAAGAAAATTGCTCACAACCACAGTACAAGGCAAGACTGGTTGTGAAGGGATTTAATCAGAAAAGGGTGTTGACTTTGAAGAATTTTTCTCACCTGTTGTGAAGATGTCAACTATCAGAGTTATTTTGGGATTGACTGCTAGCTTAAACTTGGAAATTGAACAACTTGATGTGAAGACCACCTTTCTCCATGGTGACTTAGAGGAGGAGATTTACATGGAGCAACCTGAAGGCTTTATGAAACAAGGTAAAGAAGATCTTGTTTGCAGGTTGAGAAAGAGTTTATATGGGCTCAAGCAGGCACCCAGACAGTGGTACAGAAAGTTTGACTCCTTTATAGAAGCTAATGGGTACAGTAGAACTACTTTTGATCACTGTGTGTTTGTAAAGAAATTTTCTGATGCTGATTTTGTTATTCTCCTGCTTTATGTGGATGATATGTTGATTGTTGGTCTGTTAGACAGTTTTGTATGCCCTTAGCTTCAATCAGAATGATGTACTTTATGAGTTTATTGTAAATGAATAAAAATGCATATTTGATTCATGTTCCCTTGATATGTTTCTGTGTAATACCCTTAAACTGGACACTTAATGAGACTCGTGTTA